GAATGCTAATATACTGATGCAATAACATAATGAGGCACGCAGTGATTAACTTCTCTTCTGAAATAAAAAACAAGACTTATATATCTGCAAAGTGACTGAGAATGTTGTTTCGTTTCTTTTATTTGAACAAGTAGACTATGAACGCTCACAGAACATAGTGTTGCATGCATGATTATTGAACTGGAGGGGCTGGTCTGCTTATTAAATGGCAGCTGATAATGATAAGTCTGCTTGATAAATGCATAAGACGTTGCTGAACAGGAAGTGAAGGTAAGGAGATTCAGTGTTTTTCCATGAAGAGTTAGTGGACTGAGACGGGGTATCTAGTTTGGATATACAGTTCATCAGGTTGTTTTACAAAGCTCAGATGGAAGAGATGCCTGCTGCTACACTGGTATCTTTAATGCTTGCCTCGTCTTCTTCCCTGTCACTCTCTGCTCTTATTTATTATGCTTGTGAATTTTTGGATCCCTCCAGCATTGAAATGGAACGTGAATTATTAAGGTGTGTTTGTATAGTAATTATTATTTTGCTAACTCCCGGCATTTTCTCTCTCTTCTCTCCCGTCTCTGTCTCTCTCCTCTCCTATCTTTCACTCTCTGAGCGCGACCTCTCTTTCTATCCATCTCTCGTTCGCTCCTCACCTGCTTTCTAGCCATTTGGATTGTGGCCCCTTATCGCTCTCTCCTCCTCTGATATCTTTCTTGGTTTTCACCACGGCCGCTCCTTCTGTCTTCAATATAGAGTTGGCATTCATTTATCTACTCAGTATTTTTTTCCCTCCTATCATTCATGCTATCATTCCTTTTTTTTTTTTTTTATCTCTCTCTTCTGTTCTTGGTCTCCGCCTGCCACTCACTTTTCCTAAGAACAAAAGTTATCGAAGGGTTCAAATGAAGCCGTAACTCATATCTTCACACAAAGCGCTACAGTCGGGTGGATTTTTTTTCAATAAAACTATCCTACATCGAGTAGGCGTTGTAACGAGATAACTTGGTATGTCAGTGTACGCAGGAGGATATCAAATCATACATCGCCTTCGCAAAAATTAGACACAGCTCCAATTCAAAAAAACGACGCCTTGCCATTTCAAATGCTGATATCCCCTGTTTCGTCTGACTGAAGGCCTCTGCAGAGATTGGTGTGATGTCTTTAAAGAAATAAGAAATATTCTTTGTGTTCGTAGGAGTATCTATAAGTTTTCCTCTTCCCTGTGGGCTACAGGTCATGAGTAACTAGCAATCAATCTTTTCATTTTCCATATTCTCCTGGTCCACGGCATGTTAAAGCTTTGTTCCTCTGAGGATGATATATAGTGTGACTACCTCTCATACCACCTACGCATATAACGCTCAAATCTATACCATCTCGCCCTTTTCCGATCCAACAGAGAGAGTCTATACGGGTGAATCATTTCTCTTTCCCACCTTCTTCCTATTCAAACACCTATCCACTGTCTTCTCCCCTCACTCCCTCCTGCCCCCAGCTCCTTTTTCTCCCTCTCTCCTGCCTGTGTGTTTTGTTCGGGCAAGTAATTTTCCCTGACGGTTTTGATTTGAGAAATGCATTTAACGAAAAGAGATTCAAGAAGTATAGCCAGGCTGCCGCGCCTCTCC